ACCCCTTTGGGGGTCGAACAACCCTTTCACAGGGGTCGCCTAAGACCATCGGAAAACACATATATAATTACATATTGTTTTTGTGATTAATCACTATGCTTTAATTATGTTCAATTTATAACAATGAAATTGGGGGTCACCACAACATGAGGAACTGTATTAAAGGGCTGTGGCATTAGGAAGGTTGAGAACCACTAGATTAGTGTCATGATGGAGCAGATCCTTGATTCAGTGGTGTCTGAGCAAGGAGCTTCAGTCCTTCTCCCCAGCCCTGAACCTGCCCTCCTCCTTCCTGGTGAGCACCCTCAAGCTCACCAGGGCCCCTCCAGGCTGACACAGAGCCTGGCTGAATCAACCCCCCTTCCACTCATGTGTGAAGCTCCCCACCCACCTTCCCCCAGCAGACCTTGCTTACTCATCCTTTCCATGTTGGGGAAGACAAGCTGCTTTACTCTATAGCCCAGGACCAGCTTTGGGGGGATGGTCACTGCCTTTGGTGCTAGGAAAAAGGAGCTCATGTTAATTGATCCCTAGGTGCTTTACATAGTTATCTTGCCTGATCTCCCAAACAATCCTGGGGGGAGGTAGAGATCTCGTGCCCCATTTACAGACAAGAGAACTGAGGCTCAGAGAGGGTCAGTAGGTGTGTCAGTTTCACAGCTAAAAACTAACAGAGCTGAAATTTGAACCTACATCTGACCTCAAAACTCATGTGGTTTCCACTGTACATTCGACAAATGTTCATTGAGGACCTGTTTTGTTCCAGGCACTGTGGCTCCCGCCCTCCTATGTCTTAGAAAGGGAGGCAGACAATGAATTAGCAAAAAACCCCATGCAATGGTGACCCATGCGAAGTGCTACGAAGCAGATGAACACAGGGCATCACTAGAGATACCAGGGGAGGAACTTAGTGATGCCACACACACCTTCTTGGGCAAGGAGGGAAGTCCTAAGAAGGCTAAGGAGCAGGCACGTCTACTAGGGAGGCCTGGAGGAAGAACTGAAGAGCCTGGAGTCTGGGCTGGCATTTCTCCACCCTCAGTGGGTGGGCCCAGGCTGGCTCTCCCCCCATGCCCTGACCCCTAGGACCCTAACCTTGCGTTCATATTTGAGATTGAAAAACTTCAGCAGGCTCCAAAATTTAAATTGCCGTTCACTTGTCAGGGTTTCCTTCTTTGTTGTCTCCAGAGTTTCTGTCACCAGATACGGGTCTTCTCCCCTTGTCCGCATGGATAGAAACGAAGTGGGTAGTTTTTTCTTCAGCTTCCTGGACAGAGTGGGGGCGGTGAGAGTTCAGGATCTCAGAGGCCCCACCTCTCAGGGACATTTTCCCCTCTCCATCAGCCAGTTCCTATTTGAGATTAAAGTGCACTTCGCCCACTGTGCGGGCAAGAGGGGGCAAAGTGGGAAGGGACCTCAACTAGCACTTATGGAAGAATGTGCCAGCACCGCAAGCTCCTTCACACGCTATTCATTTCACCCTCATCACAACCCTATGATGTGGGCAGAAATGTACCCATTTTCACATGAGGAAATTGAGGCTCAGAGACAGGTTATGAATTGTCCAAGGTCACACAGCTAATAAGTACAGAGCTGGGATTCAAATCCTCCTCTGTATGAGTCAAGCATGTGTCCTTCCCATGGCACCGAGATAGGCATCTACCCAGCCCACAACACTCCCTCCTCTGAGAAGGGGCTCCAGCTCCTCAGACTGATTCCTGGGGCCTGGACGCACTGTCCACCCTTAGGCTCCAGGAGGCATCTCTGATTCCATAAGGAAATTCATTCTGTGACAAAAAACATCCTGATGGAACTTCTGGTATTTATAACCCAAAACCCTCAAGGAAGACCTCCATCCTTGCCTCTTCTGACCTTACTCTATCTGTCTAATACCCTGCCCCCCAACTTTATATGCACAGACCGCTTCGCCTCACCCTAGAAACAATAGGCCTTCCAGCCTGGCTGGCTGGCCTGCTGGCTTGACTCAGTGGTTGAGCGTCAACTTTTAAACCAGGAAGTCATGGTTCAATTCCCGGTCAGGGCACATGCCTGGATTGCAGGCTTGATCCCCCAGTGTGGGGCATGCAGGAGGCAGACAATCAATGATTCTCTCTCATCATTAATGTTTTTATCTCTCTCTCCTTCTCCTTTCCTCTCTGAAATCAATAAAAAATATATTTTTTAAAAACAGAAAACAGGCCTTCTAGAAAAAAACTGAGCTCCCTTAGAAAAATTCCAGACTCCTCCTTAACAGTACTATGGTAAGGAGAGGTAGTTCCAAGGATCAGAAAAATTTCACTGTAAGCCTTTCACTTTTTAATTAAAAAGGAAAAACAAAGGCATCCATCCATTCAGGGAGGGCTCACCCAGGAGAGCCATGGGGCCCCCTTTCCTGGGCTGCTCCACAGTTTCCAACAAGCCCAGCAGAGGAAGAAAACTCCACCACCAGCAACAAAACAACTGCTGAGGGGAAGGCTGGTGATGTCCTTGAAGTCCCTTGGAAGCACCTCAGCTATCAGAACCTCTGTGGCACTTGGAGCCACCCAGGTGGGGTGGGGTGGTGGCACTTTCTGTGCAGAAAATGTCCTACAGGGGTGCTTTATTTGGTTTCACCTCTGTCCTCTTACCGAGTGCTGGCAATAAACCCAGAGACTGAAATAAGCACAAAATACAGATTTGGGCAACTCAGTATAAGAAAACAGAGGAGAGCGGCCTCTTGAAACCAGTACGTTTTGGTTCAAGCCAGAGAAATCAGTCACCCTGGAGGGCAGTAGGGATGTGAGTGAACTGAGGGCATCAGAAGAAGATTTCCTGATCCTGGGAGAACGAGACAGCTTCCTGAAGGTGGAGAAGAAGAGTACGGCATGCTTGAGGAAAGGAGTGGGTGGGAGGAGTACTCAGAGTAGGGAGTGAGGCTGCCCCCACTCAGATGCCCTTGGGGCTTCTCCTTTTCCTTCTCCCCACGGCTGCCTACCTCCAGCCTCACCTGTCCTGGAGGGAATCCAGATGTGGCTGGATATCCTGGACCACAATGTCGTGATGTCATGCCTGTGGGACTCTTGGAAGGCCCCTTCGACTGTAATTCCCCTGGGCAATTTCACTGTCGACTCCCCTGTTGAGTCTACCACATCCACAGCTTGGAACGCAGCCTTTGAACCTGGAAAGAGAAGGATAGAGGTCACACTGATCTCTGAATTTCCAGAGAAAAACGCATTTTGGAACTGGTGAGACATGACAGAAGTGGAAATAGTGCCTGGAATCAGTCCTGTATGTGCGACACCAATGTCTCAGGACCCGTTTGTTTCTTGAGCAATGCAACAGTTTGCATGTACTTTATCAGAGAGAAAAGAAAAAGCAAGCCTTATGCACACAAAGAGTGCAGCATAGAAAGGGGGATAAAAGACTAATTTTATAGGGGAGACATGATGAACACTACCTCAGCCAGGTGACCAAGGTAAACATCAATGGTGAAAGTCAATTTGATAGACCATACCCTTGATATAGTGTAAGGAGAATAGCTCTACCTCTACGGTCTTCCTTCCCAAAACCCATTATTATCTCAGTCTAACCACGAGAAAAAGGCCTCAGACAAATTCCAATAGAGAGGCATCCTACACTATGCCCTTAAAACTGTCAAGATCATCAAAAACAAGGAAAGTCTGAGACACTGTCACAGCCAAAAGGAGCCTAAGGAGATATGACAACTAAAGGTAATGTGGTATCTTGGATGGGGTCCTGGAACAGGAAACGGATATTAGGTAAATTAAGATAATCTCGATGAAGTATGGACTTTAGATAATAAAAACAAACAAACAAACAAACCCTACGCATGCTTTAACAACACCATGGGCACCATGTAGTTAAAAAAATAAAATAACCCACTTGAAAAGGGAGCAGGCCAAGTGGTTAAAAATCAATTCAAATGACCAATTCACTTCATTCCTATGGATTTTTTTTAAAGTTTGGTTTCACCTCTGCCTCTGAAAGTTTTATGCAAACAGATAGACTTTCCCTTTAAGGAAGTTAAACTGACTTAGTCAAATTTTTATGATCGTGGCAAAACACCTTGGTTGCTTTAGTAAACTCCAATATGAAAACAGCCGCCACCTCCAAGTAATCCAGACACTGTTCTGGATCGTGGCAAAACACCTTGGTTGCTTTAGTAAACTCCGCCACCTCCAAGTAATCTGGACACTGTTCTTGGTCACGTGACAGCAGTGCCTGGCATGGCAGGTGCTCTAAAACTGTACAGTGGGACGGTCAGAATTGTCTTCCATCTCAGGATGACACCCAGATGGGCGACATTCGAGTCATCTGAGCTGTAAAACTCCTCTCCATGAGGTGTGAGACACTGTCATGTCTTCAAGTGAGGGTTCAACAACACTTACCCTGGGGCTTCTCAAATCCAGAAAACCCCAAGAAGAGCTAAGTGTGGAGGCAGGGGGTGGAACATACTCCTCTATGAGCCCCCTCCAGCCCTTGGTGAGTTCTGCTCACCAGCTACTTAGTCATGATCTCCGGGGAACACGAAGGGAGAATCATAACCGCCACAGCAGAATGACTTGGTGAACTTTGAGTGTTCCTCTGTGCAGGCACTGTGATAAATGATTTACGTAATTTATCTCATTGGATTTTTGCAACAGTCTTGCTCAAGTTGACAGATGAGAAAACAAACTTGTTCAGAGGTCACCCAGCTGGTAAGTGGTGGAGCCAGGCTTAGAAACCACATGTCCCCAGCTCTGAAGCCTGCGTGTTTTCTTAACCACTAAGCAAATGACCTCCATTTATGTACCCACTTAAGTGATAAACATATAAGCACATGAGAAGACATCAGCTAATTTTAAAACAAATTATTTACAAAGGGAAAATTGGGAAAGAAAGACTATTTAGGAATAGTTTCCAAGAAAAATAAGTTTCCGTCCGACCGGTGTGGCTCAGTGGTTGGGGGTCGACCTATGCACTAGGTAGTCAAGGTTCAATTCCCAGTCAGGGCACATGCCCTGGTTGTGGGCTTGATCCCCAGTGTGGGGCGTACAGGAGGCAGCCAATCAATGATTCTCTCTCATCGTTGATGTTTCTCTCTCTCTTCCTCTCCCTTCCTCTCTGAAATCAATAAAAATATTTTTTTAAAGAAAAATAAATTTCCACTTCCCCATTCCCATCTCCCATGCAACTCTTCTGTGCATTTCTTAAACTGAGGTGTGTGGATGTGTTCATACAAATTCTAGTGTTTCTGTTGACTGGTTGACTTGGTTGCTGGCAGGGGGAATTGAGGGTGGGGCGCAGTAGGAGGGGGCAAAGTTTCCTGGCTGGCCATCTCCTGTACCTCATAATGACTGGGAAGCCCAGAATCCAGCTCATCACACTGCGCTTCACCCTCGTCACTCTCCAGTATGTCCTCCAGGGTGAGGTCTGTTCTGTAGTAAAGGTGTGTATTCATCTCCATCACCAGACAGAAACAATGAAACTTGTCAGCATCAAGGACGCTTCTGACTTCAATCATATCGCCTCCAGCATCCAACTCCTGGACCACAGCTCTTGTGATTGTCTTAAATACGCTGGGCATTGTGCCTGGACCAACTGGGAAAAGGAAGCCAATTTCAGTTTGGGAGATATTAGCTCAGGTTTTTTAATCTACCTTAGGCAGGTTGGGGTCAAGGAAGATCCAAAGGTTCCAGGACAACCAGGACTTGGGATTATTTGCCTTCCCTGTTTCTGCCCCTCATGGAATCCTTCTGGAGGAAGGATGGAGCAGTGATTGCCCCAAATGGAAACTAGAACCTGTTTTCTGCATCTCTCAGCATAGCTGTCCCCTTGCCCAGAGGGACCTTGAGGGGTGGGAAGGCAGGCCCTCCATCCCCTAGACCAGCCGTGGGCAAACTACAGCCCGCGGGCCGGATCCAGCCCGTTTGAAATGAATAAAACTAAAAAAAAAAAAGACTGTACCCTTTTATGTAATGATGTTTACTTTGAATTTATATTAGTTCACACAAACACTCCATCCATGCTTTTGTTCCGGCCCTCCGGTCCAGTTTAAGAACCCATTGTGGCCCTCAAGTCAAAAAGTTTGCCCACCCCTGCCCTAGACTCTCCCTAGTGTTGATAAGCAGAGGACCCAGAAAGGAATGAGGGGCAAATGATTACTTCTTCCTTTGGTTCTGACTCCTGGGCCTCCCTCCCTTGCTATGTTCTGCAAGGCAGTTGCATGGGTGCCCCTACCAACCATTTCCCAACAAGTCGGCCTCAGAAGGAAATAAAAGAGAGGGGATTGAGTGCAAGAGTGGCTTGGAGCTGGGCGCCCTGACCAGCCCACCTCCAGGTCCTCTCTCCTCAGTTTCAGGTCACCTTCTGAAGGGTCCACTTACACTGGATAAACTAAAATGAATTCCGCAATTCCATCTGGGGCATCTCCCCCCACCCACTCTCCCCTTCATCCTCTCCTGGTCTAAAGTTGGCCTCTGTACCGCTCTATCTCCCCTGCTCTGTGGGACCCCCCACCCACAGGCTCGTCGCCAGTCCAGTCTGACACAGCTGCTCCCTCCCCGTTTCTATTCAGCAGCAGCTCTTTGTCCCCACCACATCAGGGCTCTCTTACCTCTAAATCTTTCTTACTCTCTCCCCTTCCACCAATCACTCAACAACTCCTTTCTTTTAAGACAGTGGTTCTCAACCTTCTGGCCCTTTAAATACAGTTCCTCATGTTGTGACCCAACCATAAAATTATTTTCGTTGCTACTTCATAACTGTAATGTTGCTACTGTTATGAATCGTAATGTAAATATCTGATATGCAGGATGGTCTTAGGCGACCCCTGTGAAAGGGTCGTTCGACCGCCAAAGGGATC